GTGTGTGTGTGTGTGTGTGTGTGTCTGTGTGTGAGCACTCTCTATGAGACTCTGATTGTAATTGTGATTCTAGTGCTCAAGTCAAAGTCAGAAAGATGAGAGGAACAGCCTTCACACACACACACACACTCTCTCTCTCTCTCTCTCTCTCTCTCTCTCACACACACACAGACCTCAAGAAAGATGATTAATCATTAGGCTGTTTGCAGGAGACGGAGACAAATAAAAGCTCATGGCGCACCCTCTGTAGAGGGCATCACAAGAGGACACACACTCACAGATGACTTTCAGAACAGAACCTTCACTGAGGACACTGAAACACACCGTCTCACACACAAATGGACAGAGACAGAGACAGGAGAAAAATCTGTTTTGAAATTAGATTAGCAGAGGACAAAAGCAGCGAGATGTTTGACATAAAAGGGCTAAAGAGAGAGAGAGACAGAAGCAAAAGGCAGATGATGAAATATGAAGCAAAGCATGACATTTAAAGGGATCATTCATTTTCTTTCTTCAGATGAACACATTTTTTTGAAAAATAATCCATCTTTGTGAGTATGTTACACAAATCCCAACGTTGACGCTCCACAAAGCAACCAGCCACATGATGGCAATCCACACTCACTTCCTTTGATAAATTTCTTAGAAACCAACACTTCATATCTTCATTTTGCAAGTACAGGTAAATGTATCTTGACTTAATGAAGTTTCGATATTTATTCCGGAAAACAAGACACAAATACTGAGATACATTTATTGACTTTATTAATTTTTAGACTTTCTGCTCTGATTTGACACATTTTTAAGGCTTTAATCTGTGCAATGGTGAATTAAGATTTTTTTTAAACCTGCAAAAACCCAGCATTTGAGACTTGCATTAAACAGACTCTCAGAGATGGATTATTTTTCTAAAAAATCATTGTGTTCATCTGAAGAAAGAAAGTCATATACATCTGGGATGATGAGAGAATATTTGGTCATTTTTGGAAAGACTATGGTTTAAAGCCACACATGCATCATCTTCAGGACTGTAGACTGTACTGCGCTCATGCTTGTCACCATGGAGACAGAGGTCCACCAGTCCACAGGGGCCACGGCAGTGGGGCCCGCCGATGAAGACGAGGATGAGGATGAAGAGGTATCTGCACGAGGCATCCAGTGTGCCGAGTCCCACTGTGGAGGGGTGTTTGTCAGGACGACCCGTGGCGTGCCGGACTGCGGTGACACCGTTCTGTTATCGGCCATCATCGGGCCGGGGTCGGTGCTGTTAAAGGGCCCATCGGTCGCTATGGACACAGAAGATCCAGCATCCAGCAGGCCATTCCCAAATAAACCTGGACAAAGACGGAAAACCAGAGTCGATGAACCAGAGTTCAACAGCAACAGGTGAAGAAGTGAGGATTTTTAAACCCCCTCCCCCCTGTTACCTTGCCAAAGCACTGACAGAGCCCACTGATCTAATGGCGTTGTTGAGCGCTCCAAATGCAAACTTTGCATGCAACAATCAGGCAGCAATTGACAGCACTCTGATCTAGTGGCATACAGGCATCGTCAGATTGACAGTACTCTAGCCCAATAATGTTCGAGGATCCAGTGGGGGCAGCAGTCATATTTCAGGGTGACCGTGCCACTCTTTATCACAACCCTGCTAAAAGTGCCAGTATGTGCGCTCATTTGCGCCCCTTCAGCTGGTGGCGCCCTAGACGACTGCCTAGCTCGCCTATGCCTAGAAACGGCCCTGCTGCTGAAACACACAGTGTGTCTAGTAATGCATCCAGACTCTTCTGTAAGACACGTGTGATCTCAACGGCCCCTGATCAGCATTGATGGCTCCATGAAGAACCTTTAACTTCCATTGTATCTTTCCATTGCACAAAAGGTTCTTTTCTTTATAGTGGAAAAAAGGTTTTTCAGATGATTAAATGTTCTTCACACTAAGAAAAAAATGGCTAAGAACCAATTGCTGAAAGGTTCTTTGGTGAACCAAAAACGGTTCTTCTGTGGCATCATTGTGAAAACCCCCTTTTGGAAGCTTTATTTTTAAGAGAGTATTATTTTGCTCTGATCTGACACAGTGATGTGACCGATTCCTTCACAAAGGAAATTTCAGCCAACACAAATGCACCATAATAAACAAACTATAATCATTTCCACAAATTAGGCCAGATCGTTTCCATGCCAGCAGTGAACTAGACCCTCGTCTGGAAAGATTTCACAGCAAGCAAGCATGAGAATCACCACCACAAACAGACATGTTTGTTTGTAAAAGGGATCTTTAACCCAAAAATTTAATTGTGTCCATTGTGTCCAATTTACTCCATTCATCTTGTTCAAACATGACTTTCTTTCCTCTGTGAAACAAAAAAGGTGTTTTGAAGAACACTGGCAACCAAACAACATTGGACCCCAATATGGACAAAAAAAGAGACATTTAGAGACATGAGACATTTATCAAAATATCTTTTGTGTTCCACGGAAGAAAGTCAATCACACAGGTTTGAGCAACATGAGGGTGAGTAAAGGATCCTTTTTGGGTGAACGATGCCTTTAATTGTTAATAGGACAGAACACTGGAACGCAGTCAGACGAGAGAGGAACAGACGACGACCGCCAGAGGGAAATCTGTATAGAATCATAACACGCCGGAGACAGAGCCTCAAGGTCAGATCTCATGAGTCTAGATCGCATCATCACCAACCTCTCAGGGTTCAGTTCTCCTCCATAAAACAGCACCGCTGCTGCGCCCACAACATGCAGCGCTCAGCCCAGATCAGTCCAGAGGAGACCGAGCTCCCGCTCATCCGCCACTGCTCTAGAACAGACCCTGTTACACCGATCACACCTGCTGTTTTAATCCTGCTGTGATCAGATCGACAAAAATGCATTTTAATACCAGGTTCCTGCAGAGTTCAGCTCCAACACCAAACCAACACACCTGATGCAACTGGTGAGTGAGTTATACCTTCACAAACCTCAAGAAGATCAACCCTGACATGAGGCGCCTCACACAAGACCCGTCTAACCCCTGAGTCTATGGAGCAGATGGAAAGCAGCGGAAGTGAATGACAGTGCTGAAGAAAAGCACAGGAACTGCTGCAAACATCACCTGCACTCATCATACGGCCTCGCTGTGAAACACACATCTGCTCTGAGTCTGCATCTCTGAGATTCTGGCCAGTCTTTCTATTCAAACAGCACGTCTCATGTCTCCTTAATATGAATCAGCCATGCTGTGTTAGAGACAGAGACAGAGACAGAGACAGAGAGAGAGAGAGAGAGAGATCGAGAGAGAGAGCCACTGTGACGGTGCAAAAACAGGCTCGGGGACACAGCAGGACGTCTGGACTGGATGGGTGTCTCAGATTCACAGCTCTGATCACGTCCCACCAAAGAGACTTTCTGGCCAATAAACAAAGAGACAGAGACAGAGAGGACAAGGGCAGGATAATGGTGGGAGGAGATGTCATCAGTGTGCACGTTTTTCCAGACAGTGACCTTTTGACTTTCAGATGCTTTCTTTGAGCTTTTATGAGGAGCAAACAGACAGAGAGGAGGAGACACATACACACACACACACACACACACACACACACACACACTCACACACTCACACACACACACACTCACACACACACAC